CAATATTTTCGTTGTAACCAACAACAAATGGAGAGGAAAATGTTAAACGGATATATATATGTATTCTATTATACGGTACATTCTGTTTAATCTCAATATTTTTTTTTTTTTTGGACAAAAAATACGTTGTACGCTACACTAATACTATTACTCTAGCAATACGCGTCGAACTATTTTCACCGTATTATTGCGACGGACATAAACTTTTTGCGTTTTGTACCCTGCTTACTATATGTATCGTTTCATTCAGTATATTTCTTACGATAAAATACAATACAAGACGGAACGGGGGTAGACAAAGGGCGAAATTCAATGTCGGGACGCAGTTCTGCAAGCACAGCTCACGGAAATTCCGAGGTAACTGTGCCGTTGAAACGTTTTCTGGTTGAAAAGCGCGCGCGCCGTTTCTCCTCCGCCCTTCGAAACATTTTCAATTTACGCCACAATTTACAGAGACGTCTTTTACACGGATACAGTGTATTCCGAGGCGCGGCCCGATATCCTGACTGTAGCATTCGGACGTCCGGACGACGCCAACAAATAGTCATGAAATTCTATTTCCGACGTCGTCAGGTTAATACAACATTCTATGGCCACGGACACAAATTCGATGAAAGTGATTCGAAAAAGAAGGAGACAAGCATCTGGTCGCATTATTGATTGTCACGTGACATTTTCGTTTTCATCGCGGCACTCTTCTGCAATAATTCTATTATTAGAAATTAATAATAGTAACGAATTGACAGACAGCGAGTTATAGATTTGTACACAAGTATATGCACATCTATAAGCGATCAAAAACTAAATAACTAAGTACAAAACTGAATACTTCGAACGATTATCTTTATCTGTTAAAAAACGAAACAGCAGATAAAATATTAGATTTCTTTTCAGTATACTATGTACATACATACAATATACTATATATATGATTTGCTAATCGTTTTTCTCATTAATTTTATTGTATTTATTAAATATTCGAAATTTGTCTATTAATCTTGATTTTGTATGACCTCGAAGGTTGTTCTGTGACAGATACTTGAATTCGTTTTGATCTACGTTTTTATATAATGTAAAATATATCTATTGAAAAAAATATTAATATAATATAATTTGTATTTACTGAAAAAAATTAAAGATTATCTTCATTACCTAAATTTTACCAAAATAATAAAATTGTATACATTATTATGTTGTTTACAAAAAACAATACTATTCTTTCTTCTTTTATTGTTTTTATGCTTATCGTTCTTGAGAAAAACACTGGCTAATAAATAAATAAATAAATAAATAAATATATATATATATATATATATTGCATACAAATTCTTATTACAGTAATTTTTATTACAATTTCTAAAGTTCATTTCTACAATTGTTTTGCGATTAAACTTATTATTGTTAATGCAAAAGAAGTTATATTAGGATTAATAATCTGTTGTGTAAGTGTTCTCATTATCATGTGTATCTCTTACACATAATTTAACTTTCTATATTCGGACGGTACTTAAAAAATACCATTTTACCTCCAAATATTTTTTTTAATTGTATAAATACAAAAAATATTTTATACGTATTTTGTACGGTGTTAAGAAACCGATATCGAGTGTTGTTTCCTTTTCAAATGTTGCTTTTGTTTCATCGATGTATATTAGTAAATAATTACTTTTTTTTTTTCATTGCATCGCGTACTTTATGAAAAGATATATTTAAATGTATACTAGAATGTGACTTCCAAATAATCTAATGTGTTTAGTCCTAAACCTCGATTTATAAACGCTTATATCACATGCTATTTGAAAGTAAATATAATTTTTAAAAAAATCATAATTTTTAGAAAATCATAAGACAAAAATCTTCCATTGCGAAGATTTTTGTTTTGAGTAATACTATGTAATACTTTATTATTTCTGGCCATAGTTGCAAAACTATCGGTTCTTATAGGTACTACCTTAAACTTAAATTATTATAAAATTAATTTCCTTTTTTTTATGTTTACAATATTATCTAATGGTACAAAAATTTAATAAAGAAATCATAGATAACTTAATTCAGGATATAAAAAGACAGGATTACAGTTGTTTCATTTTATATAAAATAATCATATAAAATAATTATTAAAATATTCTATAAATGAGTAAATATTCATGATATATCTTATTTATAGGATATTTAAAAATAAAAAACAAATAATTATTTCGGTTTCCTGTCTCTGATTGTATTAATAAAAATATAATATTGCATAAACATTCTAATTATATGAAAACTTGTGGTAAAAACTATATTATAATACAAGAAAGATCTGCCACTTCTTAAGAACTCAAATACTTTAATTGAGTGTATTAATAGCTCTCCAATCAGAGAAATATTCTAATTGATGGTAATTAATTAATTGTAAGAATTAAATGCACATGTAAATGAAGATAAATACCTGCATTAATTGATCTTATAATTATCCGTTATCGAGAAAGTATGAAAAAGAAAAAGAGAGAACAGAAGGGGGAGAAAGAGGAAAAGAAGGAAATAAAAAAGGAAAGAAGAAAGAAAAACAAGAAGCAAACAAAGTTGTGAAGGAAGAAAAAGAAAGAAAAGAGAAAACAACTCTAAAGTAATGGAAAATGTCCAAGGTATGAAAAGTTATGATACAAGAAATATATACGTTACTTGCAGAAATATTATATATAACATATCATATATGGTCAATAGACTTTTATTACAAATATTCTTAAATACGAAGTGATAAGAAACCAACAAAATATTCAAATTCGTGTAAAGTGATATATTTATATTATAGTGTGTTCCATAACCACAATGTAAATGAAATAAAAAACTCATTTTAAAAAATACTTGAAAAATAAAAAACTTATTTAAAAAATTATACTTTTCATTTCTACTGCGAACCCTATTAAAAATGACAGTAACGAATACTCATTCAAAAGAAATCAAACATTCATTCAAAATTCATTCAAAGATTAAAACGCTATATATTTTCTCTTACTGTCCCACTAAACAAAATATTATTTCCAAGTTTATTACTCATTATTATTACCTATATATCCGTACCAGACATTCTGAAACCAATTCTATCCATTAGAAGAAACAACAGGAAGGAGTAAACACAACTTGTCGTTAAATCTAACGAATTTCCTTCTCGGCTAATGATAAAAACCAACAAGGCCACCGTTTTCTAACTTCTTCATTTTGTGGGCCGTGATCGAACCGCAAACACTACGAGCGAAAAATTAAATAAGCATCTGACGATTATTACAAAGGAACACGAGCCTGAATCCAACACGTTTCCATCGTTCGTGCAAATACCACGTGGATGGGTGGTTGAAAGTGGGTGGAAAATGGCAGAGGGGACAAGTAAAATGGGAACAGATCCATCGAATCGGTCGTTCCAACGACGGAAGCTACCGATCGCTGAAAAAGATAATGTCGTTACGAGGGTTCGGTTCTTGACGTAGACCTGTGGTCGGATTATCGTTGTCGCCAGCGACGTTGTTTGAATATGCCGCATCAATTTGTACCGATGTTTACTGCTATCGTTGCTTACGATCGATCACGTGCAGAAATATATATTTGTGTGTGTGCGATATATATATATATATATATGAATATCGAAGATGTGAAGAGTAACGGAGGGTCAGGAGTCGGGGGAAACGGGTCGACCATTTTCTGTCAAACGATCCGCCAAAACTGTCAGTTTTCTTTTTTTTTTTTTTTTTTCAACTCGCGTGGCCCGTCCAAATTCACGTGATGCCTTTAACAATCGTGACGAATTATCGTCTTCGTGGTATCGGAACTCGAAACGACCATGGAAATCGCAAGACTCCACAAATACTACAGATTATCCTATAATTCTGGCCCCCAATGGCTGGTTGGTAAACAATTATTATCTTCGCTTCAGTTAGCGTTAATGAATAAGAAAATCAAATGACATAAGTATAAACTAACCTTGTTTCCAATGGAAATAATCTTTTCTTTCTTTCTTTTTTGGTTTCAGTTGTATCAGTATCTGCTGGTTGATGCCAAGTTGAGACACATGTTTAACTTGGGTCCGTTGTGTGGTGTTGTTACGTTTATCACCTTGCTCATGACGTTGATCGTTATCGTTTGTTCACTTGTGGTGAGTTCGGTTTCTGTATATTTTTCTGACAACAGTTCCTTTTGCAAAACAATCAGAAAAAGAATTTAACTGCAGAATGAATTTTGTATATTTGTATAAATATCTTACATTGTTATCACAATATTAAAAATCTTATAGATTTTACGAATATATATATATATATATATATATAATATATATATATATAAATAATATAAACACTTATATAATATTATATAAACATATATATATATTATATAAACACTTTAATATGAATTAAATATTGATCTACATGGTGTCACTGGTAAGTCTAATGTTACTGATATTTAACCTATTAATATTATAACCACCGATAAAATTATAGTCTCATGCAAATATTAATAATTAGCATATGACATATTTATATGCTAAATTTTTTAATACTATTATTTTTCTATTTTTCAAATATCACGCGATTTAATACCGTTTAATAATAATAATAATAATAATAATAATAATAGTAATATATGTAAATATTAAGTTTAATTGGGATGAAACAAATATTATTATAAAAAATTATAAAATTCTCTAAAGTGTCTAAAGTACCTCTAATATTCATCACAAATAATAGAATTCATATAATAATACGTGTATTAATTAAAAATATGCAACAGAAGTTTTTCATATTTTCAAAATATATACAATATACTAATATAATATATTATATTATTTGTATCTGTTTTGTTATTTAAAATATATCTGAGAGAAGATGCATATTTATAAAACGATTTTATATACGTATGCATAGAAATAATATCATTAACAATGAAAAAAGTTAAAAGCTACAATTAGATTAAAATTGTGTTTTATCACAGATGTAAACAGAATAAATAATGTCTTATTTTGTGATTTAATGCTTTGTTACATTGCAATTGTTCCGTTAAGTCGTGGGCCGGTTAATTCGTCTGGATGAACAGAAGGCAGATCGGATCGATAACAGTCGAGAAAATATCGCCGACAAGGTGTCTTGCAATTGTTCGTTTGCATCATTTATTTTTTTTTTTT